CACTATGGTTTATAACAAAAAACTTTGGTCTCTCCGACCACTTCTCGGGATAGCATTCCAGCGATTAATCATTTGCTGTCATTTGCATCGATTAATTAAAAAGCGAGGATTCATCGCACTTCTCATTATATGCCTAAATATATAATAATTGAAAACTAGTGTTAAGATTATACTGTAATTGAAACAAGTGATGTCACAATTTACGCAAAATCCTAAGAATATTCTGTGTGTTTGCATTTAAAGTCGAAAATAAGCCTTTTGTTAGCGAGTGATAGCTAGAGAAAGAGAAAGAAAGTTAGAAACGAAAGAATATTCTTAACAAATAAAGTAATTATCAAAATAATTCTCGTATTGATAGCACAGACAAACTAAGCGTTTATTTATTTAGTTCACAGCAAACATTGAATTTATTCGCAAATTACTCGATATTTCAATACTATTTAAGTATTTATTGTGCAATAGTTTTACGACTGGTATTCAAACGATTATTATCTGATTATTGCACATCCATTCAAACACTGTATGTATAAAAGTATAAAACTCTATGCCTTTAAGACATTGTCTCAGACATTGCTTTTCCTTTTGGTGCAGAATATTCTCCTTTCGATTTGTGGTGAATTGTCTTAAAAACCAAATTTTCAATTTTTCATACATTTATACATTTTATTAATAAAATCATAAGTATATTAACGGTAAATATCGATCATTCGTATCAATAATTTAACTTCAAATTATCAAATGTCATGAAATTCATTATCAATTAATTTTTTTATATCAATCACTTTACTCCAGAGTTTTATAAACGGGGTAACAATGAGTGGACTACCGATTATTCTGGTGTTGCTTGCGATTCTCATTCACAACTCATGTGAAAACAATCAATTTTACCCAAACGGACGGTACGGTAAGAGGTCGTCCTCATCGGTAAATGCAGTCAAATATTATATACAGAAACCGGGAAATGGATTCAGAGGTAAGAATGTGTCGCAAATATATACTAAATTAATACGTCAATCACTCGTTTGACTCATTTGTGGTCAATTCTTCGCAGGGAATCAGATTCCGGTCGCGAGCGATGAGATATTATTCAATGAATTCAATATCAAACTACTGTGCAGTCATACCGGCGCTGATTTGTACTACAAATGCGTTCATACGAATAGGAGGCGCGAGATATGAGGCAATCATTTGCTTTTTGTTGTCATTTAAATTAATTGATTAAATAATACACCGATTCTGGTGTTTATATTGCAGACAATTTGACAGTAAATGACTAAAACTTCTCAAATTTCTTACCAATTAATGTGTTGTTAATGTGTTTATACACAGACTGTGTCCCAAAGGATCTGTTTTACTCCCGTTCAAACTTCAATACAACATTTGAAACAATCAATTCATTTTGAGCACACGTTTAGTTTATAGACCTAATTAATTAGAAAAATCATGTATAGTTAGGAGTAGTCACATCTATTTGTATATCACCAGTGACCTAACCTATGAATTATTAGTAATAATTAGTAATAATTTATTACATTAAACAAACAATTAATTTAGTTCTGTATACAGTACTGTACAGTAAACTAAACTTGTACTCAAAATGAATTGATTGTTTCAGATGTTGTATTGAAGTTACAACGGATATAAAAAAGCAGACCCTCTGGGCAACAGAGTCTGGTTTATACTGTATTACTGTATTGTACTGTAAATCAATTGCCAAAAATAATTAACTCAAATGACATCTGCTTTCGTGTCAAATACCCCATTCATTAGCCAAACATAAAATATATAGAAATCTTAATAATTTTATTTAAATGCCTAGAAATCTAACCACAATTTCGATGTCTATTTCGGTCTCAATTGTATTAATACTTGAAAATTGTGTAACAAATTGAAAAAACATAATAAAAAATATCCACAAAATTAATTCATTTGAATAAAAATTAAAAAAACAAAAATATTTATTATAATCATAACAAAAATACCACAAAAACATCTTATAATGGCTACAACTTCTTGAGTATAATAGCCGTCACTTGAGCGCCGACACGACCCCCGAAGGTGATGGTCGGCGTCGGTATCTCATCGACCAAAGCGAACAACTCATCCACTCTTAAGTGTCTAAACAACTCGTTTCGCGTGAAATTACACGACATTAGTATGAATGCAGAGGTCGTGGACATCACGGCCAACACAAAGCGCCGGTATTTCTCGCGAATCGCATCCAAGTCGACGTCCGGCTGAAGACATATCGCATCATAGGTTCCCTTATCGATGACATAATCATAGGTCGTGTCCATCGCGCGACTCTTGAGGTCGGCGTCGATCGTATCACTCAATACATCCAACTCTTCAAACCTAATGGTCAGCCCTTCCTCTGGAGGCGACTCTTTGGCCGCTATTTGTCGGCAAAAGTGGACGGAATTCGCGGAATAGTCGACACCCAAGAGGTTCTTGAAGTGACGTTTAGCCAACTCTAACAACACGTATCCGTTGCCGCACCCGATGTCCAGCACTCGGCACAGGTGTCGGCGCTCACGGACGCAGTGGTCGTCAATCCAGTCGACAATCCTCTGGCTATTCCTCACTCCGAACCAGATTTCGCCGCAATCGCCGAAGTGATGATAATTCCGCATCTCGTGGTCATAGCAGTCGTCCCAATAGGCTTTGGTGCCGATCCGGGAGCTACTGATCGCCACTTCCTCCTCAGTGTCCGACATGTCTTCGGCGGGCAATCACTTCAACGAAAGCGTGGGTTTTGTGTCGACTTTCAAACACTCATTGCATTCACACGTGTTGTCCGTCTGTTGTAAACATCACTTGTTTTGTAAACAATGTTTGCATTCAATGTGTCGACACTTTGGGCCCATTTGACGCTATCATCACATATGGAGTGAAGTGTTATATAAAGTGCTAAACACTCGTCACAAACCAAATCTCAAAAAGTTTTATTCAAAATACAAAGTTTTGAACACTTTTTCAAAGACAGAAATAATGCCTGACTTTGAGCTCCAGTCCCACGACTCGGTCGTCGGGGAACTCCTTACGGGCCAACGCTATGGTTCGGATGTAGGCATGGCCTCGGATGTAGTTCTCGAGCGCCTGTGTCTTGTCGTCCATAAGACTGGTCTCATAGAGAAGACCCGCCTCTTCGTAAAACTCGGCTGAAGTGAGTTCTCGGATCACGTGTTCGACGGAAGTCCTACTGATATCGGAACTCCGCTTATGGTTATTGAGTATAAGTTTGGACGCCTGTACTAAACGGCCGGACTTGAGGTACAGGCGTAGGGCCTCCTCGTGATTGTCCGACCCCTCCTTTATAGCTATATTAATGTTTAATTATAAGCAAGGTCAATGCATTAAATAATTTAAATAAGTTTAAAACTTATCCTGTACACATTGTAACATATAAGATGTGTCATTCTAATTTAACTTTAAAAGGTAACAGGTTAATTTGCGGGTTATTGATCTTACTATTATTAATAATTATTTTATTGTTTTCTATGATTTTCAAAATGTATTGTGTTTTACATTATACACAAATGGCATTTGAGTGGACTTTAAAAATTAAAACAAGTGCTAAATTTAAAGACAATAGACCATGTTTAGTACAAACTTATATGAGATAAAAAAATAAATTTTTTAACACAACCAAACGTGTAATAAAAAAATAGCATTAAATTACTTTAAGCAAGTTAAATAATTTTTATTCTTATCTTACAGTGAAATAACGCAAAAATTGTTTCCATAAATAATTAATTACGAGTGTGAGTAGATATATACTGTTTATATAAAACCTTAGTATTTAATTAATTATACAAATCTAGCACGAACTAATATAGCATCGGTACCCATGTATGACATACGGCACTTATTGATGGCGGTTACGGCTATATAAGGTTTACAAACCCGACAGTTGACCTGGTACTCGAGAATGGGGACGGTTATTCATTGAGTCTCATTCAGATTTACAATCGCATCAACCAGTTGTTGATCCAGTTGCTTGTTAATTTTAATATGGGCGATATGAATAATATATTCACTGAAATTGCTACAAATCCAAACTACGCGTTCATTCGTGGCTGACCAGGACATCATTATGCCACTCTATACTAATATCAATATTATAGCTTGCACCTTTGTATTGACAAATATTACTTGATTACTGCATTTTATAAATATAAATAAATAAATTAATTAAAAATAACTTTCCTTATTGCAAATAATATATATAATACATAATTTAAATATTAACTATTGTATAAGTATATCTAATAATGATTAAAAATGTTGATATCAAATATGAAAGTGGATTATATAACAGGGCGACATTAACTGGTGCCACAAAATACATATTAGAGATTATCTATTTTCGGCGGAACTCCTACTGATATGGGAACTCCGCTTATGGTTATTGAGTATAAGTTTGGACGCCTGTACTAAACGGCCGGACTTGAGGTACAGGCGTAGGGCCTCCTCGTGATTGTCCGACCCCTCCATTATATAACTGCATTCATGTTTCAGTATAAGCAAGGTTAATGATTTAAAATAATTAAAACTCATCAGTACTTGTGCACTAATGAACTAGTTTTATTAAACTGATCAGGTTCCATATATTAGTTGACGGGTGAATGATCTTTTATTTGTTTTATTGTGATCTATTGTTTCTAAATGTATAGTTTGGAATTATTGACAATGGGCAATTCAGTGAATTACCATGCTAAAAACAAATGTTAAATTTGAACAATGTAACCACTTTTGCGATAAACTTACCAGGTGCATAATGTATGGTATAAAAGAATTGTTAAAACTTTTAAAAACCACAAACACTGCAATCATAGCATTAAATTACTTTTTTTTAAATTGGATAATTTTTCTAATTCTAATCCAACCAATTTTTGCCAAATAATTAAACCAGGGTGAGTAGATAGTAGTTCGCTATTATTAACACCTAATCATACACATTGAATAAATTAGCACGCACCAATGAAGTCCATGGTGTTCGCGGCTACGGTAGCCATAATGATATTTGCGATGGAAATGTGCATGCTCACTGGGGCTGTGCGTGTGGCTCGACAGGGCTCCTACACGAACACCACGTGCAAGAACGCGGCCAAAGTGTGCAGCGCCAACATCATGAAGGCGCCGGTGGTTGAAGGCAACAGCGTATGGAACGTAGCCCTCGAGATCCAAAAGGGACGCTGGATAGACAACTACAGATACCCGGGCGACATGTGGCGGCGCGTGAGCCGCATATTCAGCCAATATTGCCGCGTATTTGCCGGCGAATCAAACCCCGACACTTACGCGTGCGGCTACGGCTCGGCCACTTTTTTCATCCCGTGGTCGTGTGGGGCACCGGCGATCGGCGGCTTCGGTAACACTATCCAGTGGCCCGACCCCACCGTATGCCAGGTGCTCCAGAATGCCGGCGGCTACGAGTCGGGTCTCTACCAGATTATCGGACGCATACAGCAAGTGATTGCCGACCTGTTGACCAAGTTTTCTATGGGCATCGAGAGAACCATTTTCCAGGATGTTCTCAATTCATATACGCCCACACCGGCACCTCCCACTGCACCTACACCTGCTCCTACACCCGCACCTACACCCGCAGGGTGAATCCACGATTGGATGTAATTATATTATCTATAGCTATTATTATTTATAATACTTTTACACTCGAATATATCGTAGTGTTGAACATTTTGTATGAACTAAATTAATGTTTTAAATGTAACAATTAGGAGCATATTTTTAAAATAAACAATTTAATGCATACATAGCGTAGCTATTCATTGCAAACATATTCATAATAGAATATAATAAATGGAAACATAATTTATACTGTATACAGTATTAAGATACATTAAATATTGTTACAGAAGTGTACCATTTAATACTCATTTAATAATGTTTATATCATTTGTACACAACTTATACATAACTAAATTAGTGGCATATTATGTGTGAGTCACGCAACAAATGGCAAGTTTTAGGTAAGTTTGCGGTCAATACACACACAGAGAGTGTGGATAACAAACAGAGCATTGCGTCCACAGCTATGGGCCGTAAGATTGACATCATTTGCATGTATTTCCCAAATAATCGCAATGTGTTTAGCGTTGTGTTCGTCATAATCGGCGAATCACTGCCCCCACAGCCCTCCCCCGAACCACCCG